AGACCAGCCTGGTCAACATGGTGAAAACCAGTCTCTACTAAAAATACACAAATCAGCCAGGCATGGTGGTACATGCCTATAGTCCCATCTACTTGGGAAACTGAGGTAGGAGATTTGCTTGAACCCTGGAGGCAGAAGTTGCAGTGAGCGGAGATCATGCCAATGCACTCCAGCCTTGACAACAGAACAAGACTCCATATATTAAAAAAAAAATCTGGAAATTTTTCTTTCTTTAAAAATAAAGATGAGGGTCTTGCTTTGTCGACCAGGCTGCTGTCCAACTCCTCACCTGAAGTGATCCTCCTGTCAGCCTCCCAAAGTGTTGGGATTACAGGTATGAGCTACCATACCTGGCCTAGCCTGGAAACATTTGCACCTGATCGAGGAGGCTCTGTTAAGTGACTTAAGTTCTTTTACATTCCGGCCCGGTGCGGTGGCTCAAGCCTGAAATCCCAGCACTTTGGGAGGCCGAGGCTGGTGGATCACGAGGTAAAGAGATCGAGACCATCCTGGTCAACATGGTGAAACCCCGTCTCTACTAAAAATACAAAAAATTAGCTGGGCATGGTGGCACGTGCCTGTAGTCCCACCTATTCAGGAGGCTGAGGCAGGAGAATCGCCTGAATCCAGGAGGTGGAGGTTTCAGTGAGCCGAGATTGTGCCATTGCACTCCAGCCTGGGTAACAAGAGTGAAACTCCGTCTCAAAAAAACAAAAAGTTCTTTTACGTTCTGTACCGGGCGCGGTGGCTCAAGCCTGTAATCCCAGCACTTTAGGAAGCCGAGGGAGACAGCTCACCTAAGGTCAAGAGTTTGAGACCAGCCTAGCCAATATGATGAAACCCTCATCTCTACTAAAAACACTAACATTAGCCAGGTGTGGTGGTGTGTGTCTGTAATCCAAGCTACTCAGGAGGCTGAGGCAGGAGAATCGCTTGAACCCAGGAGGCGGAGGTTGCGGTGAGCCGAGATCTCTCTCCATTGCACTCCAGCCTGGGCAACAAGAGCAAAACTCCATCTCAAAAAAAAAAAAAAAAATGTCTTTTACGTTCTGTCTTTATTCATCCATTCTTTGGAAATCAAAACCAGCTATTAAGGGGATGGTTTAGACAAGAAACTGGAATAAGTGGACCCTTTCTCCAAGAATAGGCTTTATGCCTGTAGCCAAAAGATTGTAAAGTGAGTCAGGGCAAGGTGGTTCACGCCTTTTATTCCAGCACTTTTGGAGGCTGAGGCGGGCAGATCACTTGAGTCCAGCAATTCGAGACCAGCCTGGGCAAATGGCAAAACCTTTTCTCTATAAAATATACCAAAAAAAAAAAAAATGTACCTGTAGTCCCATCTAGGAGGGAGGCTGAGATGGGAGGATTATTCCAGCCGAGGAGATTGAGGATGCATTCACCGGAGACTGCACCACTGCCCTTCATGCACTCCAGCCTGTGTGACAGAGTGAGACTCTATCTCAAAAAAAAAAAAAAAAAGACAAAAGATTGCAAAGTGAAAATACTGTTGTTTAAATTTAAAATAAGTGTTTATACATATATTTTATTTTATTTATTTATTTATTTTTTAAAGACGGGGTTTCACCATGTTGGTCAGGCTGTTCTTGAACTCCCAACCTCAGGTGATCTGCCTGCCCTTGGCCTCCAAAGTGCTTGGATTACAGGCGTGAGCCACGGCGCCTGGCCTTATACATATATTTTATTATTTTCCACATTAACTCACTTCTTCAATAACTAAACATCTACTGTTTCCTAACACAGAAAATAAACATATACAGCTTCTGAAAACATGGTGCAAGGCCAGGCACATTGGCTTACACCTGTGATTCCAGGACTTTGGGAGGCCACAGTGGCAGGATTACGTGAGCCCAAGAGTTTGAGACCAGCCTAGGCAACATAGAGAGATCCTGTCTCTACAAAACAATTTTAAGAAAATTAGCTGATCATGGCGGCATGCACCTGTGGTCCCAGATAATTGAGAGGCTGAAGTGGGAGGATCACTTGAACCCAGGAGCTTGAGGCTGCAGTGAGCTATCAGGCTGGGTGCAGTGGCTCACACCTGTAATCCCAGCATTCCGGGAAGCCAAGGTGGGCGAATCACCTGAGGTCAGGAGCTCAAGACCAGCCTGGCTAACGTGGTGAAACCATATCTCTCTACTAAAAACACAAAAATTAGCTGGGCGTAATGGTGGTGCCTGTAGTCCAGCTACTCCAGAGGCTGAGATGGAAGCTGGCTTGAACCTCGGAGACAGAGGTTGCCGTGAGCCCAGATTGTGCCCAGTGCCCTGCAGAGTGGGCAACAGAGCAAGATTCCATCTCAAATATACCCGAGAACTTAAAGTATAATAATAATAAAAAATAAATAAAATTAAAATTAAAGATAAAAATATAAAAAAGGATGAATAAAAAAAGCACAGTAGAAAAAAATGACTGATATGCTAAACTACTGATAATACAATTAAGTGAAAAGGCAGGTTAGAACAAAATGTTCAGTATATTCACCTCTTAGTAAAGTATGCTTTGTTACATATGACTAAATAGAAATCCAACAGGAGTGTTCTACAAAATCCTAACAATTCCTCCCAGACAGGAACTAACAGATAATTTTATTTTTTCCCTTCTGCTTTCCTTGGATTTTCCAAATTTTCTAAAACTAAGATTACTTTTATTTCTTCCTTTATTTTTTAAATTAATTTATTTTTTTAAAGATGGGGTTTCACCATGATGGCCAGGCTGGTCTTGAACTCCTGACCTCAGGTGATCCACACACCTCGGCCTCCCAAAGTGCTAGGATTACAGGCATGAGCCACCACGCCCAGCCTCTTCCTTTTTTAAAAAAGAAAACAGAGACTCACTGTCACCTAGGCTGGAGTTCAGTGGTGACATCTCAGCTTACTGCAATCACTTTCTTCCAGGTTCAAGTGATTCTCCTGCCTGTACCTTTCAAGTAGTTGGGATTACAGGCATATGCCACCACCCATGGCTAATTTTTATAATTTTAGTAAAGATGAAGTTTCACCATATTGGCCAGGCTGGTCTTGAACTTCTGGCCTGAAGTAATCTGCCGGCCTCAGCTCCCCAAAGTGCTAGGATTACAGGCATGAGCCACTGCGTCTGGCCTAAGATAATTTTTGTAATCAGAAGAAATATTACTTAAGTTTTTCTTAGTCTTTCTAACTTTTCATGTGGAAATGCTACGAAATTGATAATCAAAAATATTAATTGTGACAGAAAAAGGCTTTTGGTGCTACATGAGCACATGGAGGTCACTCACTGAGATAGAAACTCAGTTTCTGTGGAGAATGGACTGCAGTGACACTGAATAAACCTGGGAATGACTGAATTTCCTCTGCAGGATAAACTACGGGGGATGCACAGCACCCCTGTCACCCGAGGGTGAGGGGACACCAGGAGGCACCCCAGGGAGGAGGGTGGCAGAGGAGAGCTGGGGGAAAGCTCTGGAAAGGTCAGAGCCTGGATTGATCCTGTTCAGATTAATGACTTCTTTCTGCTCATCCTCTATCAGAGCTGCTCACACTGTCTCCTTTTCTCAGAACCTAGGGCTTAAGTGACACATTGTGATTGAACCAGAGACCAGGGTGCACAGGACAAGCACCTGTGTTAAAAAGGTGCTGTATCCTAGAACCACAGGGGACTCAGTGGTTTCATTCCATCAAGTAAATTCTTTTTGGATGGTGTAAACACAGGATTCGACAGAAAGAGTCCTAAGTTCAAAGTTTCATAGGAAGACATAGATATGACAGTTTATTTACTTTTTGACGTATGGTCTGCCTCTGTTGCCCAGATTGGAGAGCAGTGGCATAATCAGGACTCACTGCAATGTTGACCTCCCAGGTTCAAGTGATCCTCCCACCTTAGCTTCCTGAATAGCTGGGACTATAACTGCTGTCACCACACCTGGCTAATTTATTTATGTATTTATTTTGGGGGGAGATGAAGTCTCCCTATGTTGCCCAGGCTGGTCTGGAGCTCCAGGACTCGAACAGTCTTCCTGCCTGGGTCTCCCAAAATGCTGGAATTGCAGGTATGAGCTACCAAGCCTAGCCTGTAGCACATGTGAATAGAGTTTGTGAACTCTACATGAACTTTAAAGTCATCATTGGCATCCACCTGAGAACATTGTAGCAGAGTTAGGCTTTTGTAGGCATCTCAGCCAGCCAGTAAACATTCACTAAACAATGACTCTTTTCAGGGCCTCTGCTGTACAAAGATACAGATTCCTTACTAGTTGTCAATATCCCATTAACTACCATCATTTGAATAGAAGTTGCCTGTACGGGAGATGTCATCAATTCCAGTATTTGATCCAGATAATACTGACCCCCAGGCCATCTGGCCCCAACCCCATTTGCACTGTAAGCTATAGTTGCCAATTCTCTCAGAAAAACACTTTAGAAACATAATCCCTGGTAAATAACAGCAGAAAGCTATACTACAAGTAAAACTAAATATCGATTCCAAATGTAAATTATTTGACGATTAAAAAAATACAATTTAAATAATAGCAGGAATGGACTGGGCAGGGTGGCTCATGCCTGTAGCCCCAGGACTTTGGGAGGCTGAGATGGGTGGATCGCTTGAGATCAGGAAGTTGAGGCCAGCCTGGCTAACATGGTGAAACCCGGTCTTTACTAAAAAAAAAAACTGCAGAAATTACTGAAGTGCGCCTGTAATTGGAGTTACTCAGAAGGCTGAGGCCCTAGGGTCACTTGAACCCAGAAAGTGGAGTTTGCGGTAAGCTGTGATCGTGCCACTGCACTCCAGCCTGGCCCACAGAGCGGCACCCTGTCTCCAATAAATAAATAAATAATACCAAGAGTGAAGAGCTTTGAAAAAACAAATATATGTGAGGGTGGGCCAGGTGGCTTGTGCCTGTAATCCCAGCACTTTGGGAGGCTAAGGTCGTTGGTTAAGTTGATGTCAGAAATGTGAGACCAGCCTGGCCAACATGGTGAAACCCCATCTCTGCTAAAAACACAAAAATTACCTGGCAGTGGAGATACTGTAATCATGAAGGTGGTTTTCCCAGGGTGAGGCTCACCCATTGCGCTCTGGATGTGCTGACCCCTGTGATTTCCCCAAATGTGGGAAACTGAACTGCAAAATTTATGGTAGTGGGAGATTGCATTTGCACTTTCCCCTGATAAGAAATAAAAATAAATACATAAATTAGTCAGGTGTGGTCGCACATGCCTGTAGTTCCAACTACTTGGGAGGCTGGTAAGGAGATTTGCTTCAACCCAGAGGCAGAAGTTGCAGTGAGCTGAGATCATGCCACTGCACTCCAGCCTGGGCGACAGAGCAAGACTCCATATCAAAAAAAAAAAAAAAAAGCTGGAAATTTTTCTTTCTTAAGAAATAAAGATGAGGATCTTGCTTTGTTGACCAGGCTGGCGTTCAGCTCCTCACCTCCAATGATCCTCCCATCAGCCTCTCAAAGTGTTGGGATTACAGATACGAGCCACCTGGCCTAGCCTGGAAAACATTTGCACCTGATCTAGGAGGTTGTGTTAAGTGTCTTTAAAGTTCTTTTACATTCTGAGCCGGGCGCTGTGGCTCATGCCAGTAATCTCCGTACTTTGGAAACCCAAGGGAGGCAGATTACCTAAAGTTAAGAGTTTGAGACCACACTAGCCAATATGGTGAAACCCAGTTTCTACTAAAAATACAAAAACGAGCCAGGCATGGTGGTGTGCATCTGTAATCCCAGCTATTCAGGAGGCTGAGGCAGGAACATCCCTTGAACCCAGGAGGCAGAGGTTGTGCACTGAGCCCAGATCTCTCACCATTGCACTCCAGCCTGGGCGACAAGAGCAAAACTCCACATCTGAAAAAAAAAAAAAAAAAAAAAAAAAGGTCTTCTATGTTCTGTCTTCATTCATCCAATCTATAGAAAACAAAACTGGATATTACAGTGATGGTTTAGACAAAAAACTGGAATAAGTGGACCCTCCCTCCAAGAATGGGCTTTACACCCGTAGCCAAAGATTGCAAAGTGAGACAGGGCAATGGGGCTCACATCTGTAGTCCCATCTAGCAGGGAGGCTGAGATGGGAGGATCATTCCGGCCCAGGAGGTTGATGATGCATTCACCTGAAACTGCCACACTGCACTTCATACTTCATGCACTCCAGCCTGAACACCACGGTAAGACTCTATAAAAAAAAAAAAAAAAAAAAAAGATTGTAAAGTGAATATGCTGTTGTCTAGGGCCAGGCGTGGTCTCACTCCTATAATCCCTGAACATTGGGAGTCCAAGGTGGGCAGATCATGAGGTCAAGAGGTCAAGACCACCCTGGCCAATATGGTGAAACCCCATCTCTACTAAACATACAAAAATTAGCTGGGTGTGGTGGCAGGCACTGGTAGTCCCAGCTACTTGGGAGGCTGAAGGAGGAGAATCACTTGAACCTGTGAGGTGGAGGTTGCAGTGAGCTTCGATTGCACCACTGCACTCTAGCCTGGGTGACAGAGTGAGACTGCCTCTCAAAAAATATATGTATGCATGTATATATATATATAGTTTTTATATAAAAATATGTATATATACTATTGTTTAAAATAAGGTGTTTAGACATATGTCATTTTTTATTATTTTCCACATTAACTCACTCCTTCAAAAACTAAAGATTGATGATTCCGTAACATAGAAAATAAATATATACAGCTTCTAAAAACATCGTACAAAGCCAGGCACAGTGGCTCACACCTGCAACCCCAGCACTTTGGGAGGCCACAGGGGAAGAATTACGTGAGCCCAAGAGTTTGAGACCAGCCTAGGTGACATAGAGAGATCCTGCCTCTATAAAACAATTTTAAGTAAATTAAGTGATGATGGCAGCATGCACCTGTGGTCCCATCTACTTGGGAGGCTGAAGTGGGAGGATCATTTGAGCCCAGGAGCTTGAGGCTGCAGTGAGCTATGCTTATGCCACTGCACTCCAGCCTAAGTGACAGAGTAAGATCCTGTCTCAAAAAAATTAAAATTAAAATTAAAAAATAACATAACATGACTTAGTAAAGTATGCCTTGTTATATATGACTAAATAGAACTCCAACAGGAGTCTACTACAAAATCCTAGCAATTCCTCCCAGACAGGAACTAACAGATAATTTTATTTTCTTCCTTCGGCTTTCCTTGGATTTTCCAAATCTTAAACTAAGATTACTTTTATTTCTTCTTCTTCTCCTTTTTTTTTTTTTTCTGAAACAGAGTCTCACTCACTGTCACCAGGGCTGGAGTGCAGTGGGGTCATCTCGGCTCACTGCAACCTCTGCCACCCAGGTTCCTGCCTCAGCCTCCCAAGTAGCTGGAATTACAGGTGTGTGTTACCACGCCTGGCTAATTTTTGTATTTTTAGTAGAGACGAGGGTTCACCATGTTGGCCAGGCTTGTCTTGAACTCCTCCTGCCTCGGCCTCCCAAAGTGTTGGGATTACAGGTGTGAGGCACCGCATCTGGCCTAAGATATTTATTTATTTATTTATTTATTTATTTATGAGACAGAGTCTTGCTCTGTCACCAGGGTGGAGTCCCGTGGCGTGATCTCCACTCACTGCAACCTCCCAGGTTCAAGCGATTTCCCTGCCTTAGCCTCCTGAGTAGCTGGGACTATGGGAGAGTGCCACGACACCCAGATAATTTTTATTTTGTATTTTAGTAGATACAGGGTTTCACCATATTGGCCAGGTCAATCTCCTGACCTCATGATCTGCCTGCCTCTGCCTCCCAAAGGGCTGGGATTACACGAGTGAGCCACAGAGCCCAGCCAGATTATTTTCATAATCAGAGGAATCTTTCCACCTCTTCTTGAGGGAATGCTACTAAATGCATAATCAAAAAATGATTGTTGACAGAAAAAAACCTTTGGTGCTACATGAGCACATGGAGGTCACGCAGTGAGACAGAAACTCAGTTTCTGTGGAGAATGGACTGCAGTGACACTGAATAAACCTAGGAATGATTAAATTTCCTCTGCACAGCACCCCTGTCACCTGGGGGTGGGAGGACACCAGCAGACAGTGCTGGGAAGAGGGTGGCAGAGGAGAGCTGGGGGAAAGCTCTGGAAAGGTCAGAGCCTGGATTGATCCTGTTCAGATTAATGACTTCTTTCTGCTCATCCTCTATCAGAGCTGCTCACACTGTCTCCTTTTCTCAGAACCTAGGGCTTAAGTGACACATTGTTATTGAACCAGAGACCAGGGTGCACAGGACAAGCACCTGTGTTAAAAGGTGCTGTATCCTAGAACCACAGGGGGCTCACAGTGGTTTCATTCCATCAAGTAAATTCTTTTTGGATGGTGTAAACACAGGATTTGATGGAAAGAGTCCTAAGTTCAAATTTTCATAGGAACACATAGATATGACAGTTTATTTACTTTTTGACATAGGGTCTCCCTCTGTTGCCCAGACTGGAGTGCATTGGCGCAGTCACGACTCACTGCAACCTCCATCTTCCAGGTTCAAGTGACCCTCCCACCTTAGCTTCCTGAGTAGCTGTGACTACAGATACTATCACCACACGTGGCTAATTTGTGTGTGTGTGTGTATAGATGGCATCTCCCTGTGTTGCCCAGGCTGAACTCCAACTCCTGTACTCAAATGATCTTCCTGCCTGGGTCTCCCCGAATGCTAGAATTGGCAGGTGTGAGCCACCCTGTCCAGCTCTGAATTCTTAAAATTATCTGTAGCACACGTGAATAGAGTTTGTGAACTCTACATGAACTTTAAAGTCATCATCCATCTGACAACATTGTAGCAGAGTTAGGCTTTTGCAAGAATCACAGCCAGACAGTAAATGTTCACTAAACAATGACTCTTTTCAGGGCCCTGGTGCTTTATACAATGATGTAGATTTCATAGCAGTTGTCACTATCCCACGAACTATGCTTATTTGAATAGAAGGTGCCTGGGGTGAGAGGTCATCAGCTCCGATATCTAATCCAGGCAATGCCTGTCCCAGCGCATTTGGCACCAATCCCGTAGGCACTCTAAGCCATAGTTGCCAATCGTCTCTGAGCCACACTTGAGAAAGCTATTCCCTGTTAAAGAATAGCAGAAAGCTAAACTGCAAACCAAGCTACATATCCATTGCAAATGTAAATTTTCTAATTGTCTGACAAGAAAAAATATAATGTAAATAATAGCAGGAATGGGACAGGGGTGGTGGCTTATGCCTGAAACCCCAGCAGTTTGGGAGGCTGAGGTGGGCGGATCACTTGAGGTCAGGAGGTTGAGACTCGCCTGGCTAAAATGGAGAAACCCAGTCTCTACTAAAACAAACAAACAAACAAACACAAAAATTAGCTGGGTGTGGTGGCATGGGCTTTATTCCCAGTTACTCAGGAGGCTGAGGCTGGATAATCACTTCAACCAGGAAGCAGAGGTTGCAGTGAGCCGAGATTTTGTCCCTGCACTCCAGGCTGGGTGACAGAATGAGACCCTGTCTCCAAAAAATAAGTCAATAAACAAATAATACCAAGAGTTATGAGCTTTTAAAAACATGTATGTGAGATGGGGCATGGTGGCTTATGCGTGTAATCCCAGGACTTTGGAATGCCGAGGTGGGTGGATCACCTGAGGTCAGGAGTTTGAGACCATCCTGGCCTACATGATGAAACCCCATCTCTACTAAAAATACAAAAATTACCCAGGTGTGGTGGTGGGCACCTGTAATCTCAGCTACTCAGAAGACTGAGGCAGAAAAATTGCTTGAGCCCAGGATTTGGATGTTGCAGTGAGTCGAGATTGTGCCATTGCCCTCCAGCATGCTCAACAAGCCCAACTCCATCTCAAACACAACAACAAAAAAAATAGGCCAGCACAATGACTCATGCTTGTAATTCCGAAACTTTGGGAGGCCTAGGCAGGCAGATCACAAGGTCAGGAGTTTAAGACCAGCCTGACCAACATGTTGATACCCAGTTTCTCCTAAAAAATATATAAAGATTAGACTGGTGTGGCGGAGTGCAACTGGAATCCCAGATACTCAGGATGCTGAGGCAGAAGAATTGCTTGAACCAGGGAGAGAGAAGTTGCAGGAAGCCGAGATCGTGCCACTGCATTCCAGCCCAGGGGACAGAAGGTCAGGAGTTCGAGACCAGCCTGGCATCTTGGTGGTGGGCAGCTGTAGTTCCAGGTA